GTTATGGAATGAATATATCATTTAATTTTATGAAGCAATGTTTATTCATAATAAAATATGTATGGTAACTGAATATGCAGAATATGGATCAATACAAGATATAATGAATAAAAGAAACATTACAGAAATACCAAAGAAAATACGAATTAAATTTCTGATAGATGGAGCAAAAGGAATTTCATATCTTCATTCAAATGGAATATTACATCGAGATATTAAACCAGATGATTTCCTTGTTGTAACACTTGATGATAACATTAAAGTTAATTGTACATTAACCGATTTTGGAGGTTCAAGAAATATTAATATGATGATTATGTTAATTGAAAGAAAAGAATAAAAGAATAGTACTAAATAATAATAAGCAATTGATTGAGTGTTAATAGAATTTGATTTCTATTGTCCCTAGCTCAAGGGAGATTAATCCTGTCCCTTCGTCAAAGAAGAGTATTACAAAAATAACTAAAAGATAGTAAAATATTAATCTTTTAAATTAAAGGGTAAGTTTAAATTTTAAACTGGAAATAATCAATTTCTTAAGAATTTTAATGGAAGAAACACAAACACCACCAATTTATTTTAATGTTCTGAATATTCCATATAAGAGGGTGATATTATTTAAAAATAAAAGTATTATAGTAGGTATGTAGATGTATGTATAGGTTTTATTAATTTATAATGAAAAATGACTTATTTAATTAGCAGAAAAAGAACCATCAACCCGAATTGATCAAATGGTTTTAGATATTATTGATATTATCAAAGGAAAAATAGTTAATACAATCAAATCAAGTACTCGACCAGTATCTATTGGACATAGTGAAAATATTCTTTTTATATTATTTGATAATGGAAAAATTAGAGTGTATAGAACAAATGAATTAGATAATAATAAAAAGTCAACAGTTTTATTTCCTTCTTTTAAAGAACAAGTTAATATAAAAACAGTTGGGTGTTGGGGAGAAAAAGGAATAGTTTGTATTTCTAAAGAGAACAAAGTTACTTTTTTCAACGTTTTATCATCAGAATTATCAAGAAAAAGGAATTCTCTTGACCCTCAACCTAGTTCGTTACAACTTGAATTTACTTCAGAATTACCTGTTGAAGTAAAAAGCTATGGAGAAATAGTTATAGCATATAGTCAAAAAGAAATGATTTTGTTTAAAGAAATTGGTGTTATAAAGAAGTTTACTACAAACGAATGTAATGTTCAATTTTTTAGAAATGTTTCGATTTATAATCAAAGTATTATTGTCTCTGATCAATTCAACATAGGACTAATTAATGTAGAAACATTACAAACGTCATTTATTTTTAATCCAATGGAAGAAGAGTGTTATAACCTTGGATTTGTTAATTGGAACTTAGTAACTAAACAATTAATTTTTTTTGTAATAACTACTAATATGGCTGCAATATTTAGTGTCGATCAAACAAAACAATCAGGAGAATTAAAATTAATAATTGAATATGGTTATTTATTTCCAAATATTGAATTAATACACATTACTGATGATGGGTTTATAATTAAAAGTGATGGTAAATTCTACATTTGTAATTCAAATCCAGAAAAGTATAATTCTCCTTATTTTGAATTATACCAACTAAATACTGAAACTAAAGAATTAATTCTTAAAAGAAAAGCGACTTCTTCTATTGATTTAGCTTCCCAACAACGTTCACCAAAGTTATTAAATCATCTTCTTCTTAATAGTATATCTCTTAGTACAAGAGATTCACAAACCTCTCATTATCAAAGTTGTACTTCTCATATTCAACCATCAATTCCTCAAACACAACCAAAAACTCAACAACAAAACTCAACATCTACTAATTCAAAAAGTCACGTCAATGATTCATTTAGTTTTGTAGAGACTCAACATAAAATAGAAAGTCAAAGAATAAAAACAAAACATCATGAAGATTTCTCTCAACTTCTAAAAACTAGAGTTGGGGTTCCATTAAATACCTTGACACAAAACCAAATAAGAAAACAACTAAATGAAAAGGTGTCGGCTACAGACTATACTCCAAAACTACCACCAAAAATGAACCAAACGTCTTCAAAAGTTGTTGACCCTTTTAAGCCACTTGTGAGTAAAAAAATTAAGCAAGAAATTCCATCAACAACCTCTCATCCATCTACTCTTTCTACTTTTCAATGCTCACAAAAGCCTATATCAACACAATCATTACAAGACCAAGTAAAAACACAGTCATTACAAAATCCTATGTCAACACAACCATTACAAAATCCTATGTCAACACAACCATTACAAAAACAAGCAACAACACAATCATTACAAAAACAAATAACAACACAACCACTACAAAAACAAATAACAACACAACCACTACAAAATTACTTTTCATCATCTGTTGGGGAATTAAGAAATTTTGAATATAACTATGATACTCTTGAAAGAGTTGTTGATATAAAAGATTTAAGGTGTTTTGGACTTGGTATCGGTCCTATTACTTGGATGAAAGGAGAAATTAATTCAGTAAATCCAAGGCTATTTGTTTGTTCTGCAAGTTCAGAAATTAATGAGGTAACATTTTCAGCAACAATGGTGCCATCAAAATGTTTTCAAAAAGAAACTATGTTTCAACCACCAGTACTTTATGAAATGAAAAATGGAGCATTACTTATTTTTCCACAAAAACAAAATTCCTTATTTTCATTAAAACAAGGATATATTGAATCTTTAATTCCAGCAAAAAACATTAAAATTTTTCCTCATAATGAAGGTTCTATTATTGATATTCCATTAGAAGATGAAACAATAATTAAATTTATTACATTAAATGAAAAATCAGTAATTTATTATGGAAAGTGTTGTACTGAAATTCCAGTTAAAAGTTCAGATATCAAATCAATTAAAACATATCAAAAATTTATTGGATGTTGTACAGCGGATAGTTTATTAATATTATATCCTAGTGGTGTAGATATAATTCATTTACCACCAAAATTTGTTGACTTTGCATTAACACCATTTGGTTGTATTATTATTCAAGAAAGAGGTGGGGTGTATGTTATTTGTTCTCAACCAAAATTACTTTATCAATTAAAATTTAAAAATAAAGATAATGAAATAGACCTACCGTTTTGTTCATGTTTTTATGATGATAAAATACTCTTTTTAGGTGATAAAAATGGAAGAGTTTATTATTGTTTTATTGAGACATATATTTCAATGTCGTATTTAACAAATTAAAATACATTTGATTTAAGTTGTATTATTGAATTGATTCTTATTTTTTCTCATTCACTTTATCAATTACTTTCATTTATAAATAAAAAATTGAATAACTTTTTATAAAAAAAATTGAAACACAAAGGAGTTAAAAAGATTTATACCATAAAACTTAAAAAAATATCATTGGATTATGTTAACTAACTTATTACACCAATTCAAATTATCTTCTACAAATATAAAAGGTACTTGTTCACTTCCATTTTCTTTAAAAACGTATGTAGAAGAAAAAGAAAAGAAATCAAATATGATTTTATTATCACAACGATTTCAAATAAATTTAACACGAGAAGTTGAGTTATGCCAATTGATAACAGAAGGAAAAGAAGTTATAACTAAAAGAAGTGTTACTGAACTTTGGGAAAAAATTGATTTGTTTGGTGAAAGAGATGATAGTCTTCATAATGAAACTACTTCATCTCCTTTAAATTCTTCTTCTTCTAATATTGTTCAAGATGAAAAAGATAATGATGACATAAAAGAATTATCAAAAAGGCTTACATTTTATGCTTCTCATTTTAAAAAATATGATGGACAAAAAGCTAGAGGTTGTGAACAATCTAAGTTCATTGAAAATATAAATTCAACAAATGAAGTTATTGGACTAGACTTATTTTATACAGAAAATGAATTAAATGAAATGAGAAGATATCCAATTTATGTAAATGATACAAGAATACATAAAATGTTTGATATTAGTGATGTTATAATTGAAAATGGAAAAATTATAAAAGGAACAATTCGTGGAATAGTAAATATTGGAGCTATTCATAAAAATAATGAAGTTATGCAAACTTTAATATGGACAAATGATTTATATTCTAATAATTGTGAATTATTAAAATGTATTACAGACTGTTTTGAGGTTTCTTGTCTTGGAGATAATGTAGAATGTCAAATTGTTAGATCAAGACTTGTTGGTTCACTAAAATATTGGATTGAATCATGTTTATTTGATAATAAATTTTTAGAAGATATTAAGGTGTTTATTCAACGACTAAAGAAATACGGAATGAATAACCAATGTAATACTCTCAGTATTACATTATCTAGAAGACTGGTTGGAATAGAAAAAGAATATTCAAGAGATAATACAATAACCAAACATGTATTTATTCCTCCCTCATTATATTATGATATTGATACTCCACTTGAAATGATGTCTCCAAACGAAGTTGCAAGACAACTAACACTAAAAGGATATTCATTATTTTCTAAAGTAAAAGTTAATGAATTATTATTATGGAATGAACAAGATAAAGAAAGTCAATGTAAGTCTATATTAGCTCTGACCCAATTCTCTAACAGAGTAGTAGAACTTTTTAGTAATTTTATATTATCTGCACAAAACTTAAAACATAGAATTCAATTACTTGAGTTTGTGTGTCAAATAGGAATTGTTTGTTATCTTATTTCTTAAAAAAAAGAATAATATAATTATCACTTATCAATAGGAAGCAGAAAAATTACATAATTATGACTTATTATGTTGTATCTCATTTACCTTTAGTAAAAGTGCTATACATCGTTTAAAATGTACGTTTAATAGAATTAATGAAATGTATCAACAATTTATTGTTCGATTAAAAAAAATATCATCTCCTGAAAATAACTGGCAAACACTTAGAAATTGTACAACACAAGACGAAAATGTTATTCACGCACTACCTTATCTTGGATACTTTTTATCTGATGTTACATTTATTAATGATGGAAACATATCTACTTTTGGAAATGGAGTTATTAATTATCTTAAATGTAATATGTTAATGAACGTTGCCCAAAAAGTTTATCACTTACAACAAATACCTTATTATGATCTTGTTGAATCTATTCCAATGCAAGAGGCACTAGAAAAGTTATTAGAAAATATGCCTACAATGCTCGAATCTCAAATTGATAAAGAACAATATTTACTATCTAAATTAATAGAACCATCAGTTAAGCATTGTATCTTCCCCATTAAAGATGGTAAGTTTTTATTTCTTGGTCCATTACAGATGACTCCAAAACCATATAATCAAGACCCTTCTATGGATGTTAATACCTTTTTATCTTGTCTTCTTCCAACAATATTTCCTTTTGTATCTTTTGTTGCAGTACTTCAAAATTCATTTATTGAATTCCCTGTAAATACATCATTAAGTCTTTTAATCCCTGCTAATTATTACACTGTTTATCTTAAACCTGTCGAAGTAACTATATTTATTTATACAGAAGATGGATGGTTAAAAACTAAAATATTACTTGACTCTTCTCGTCCATTAATGTATCAAATGAATTCATTCATTGCTATTTCAATTGATAAAAGTCCCTTTATATTATTCCATATGAAACAAGGAACAGAAGGTCATCTATTTTTAGACGTTAATGTATCTTTATATCAAAATAACTTTGAGATTAATGATTATATTATATCTTACCCTTTAACATTATTAAAGTCTTGTAGTTTTGGATATAGTGCTGACGTTGTTCTTTTTGACGAAGAAGAAAATTATTATACTGCTACATTAAGTATGGTTTCTCCTATTATTGTAGAAAGGGGAATTGATGGTGCACTAAAAGAAGTAGGAACATCAGTATTAGTAGTTATTGCAGGAATGGTTATGTATGTATATCAATCAAATAATATTATTCGTATATTCCCAATTCAATTTACAAGAATAAAAATTTATCCAGGAACTTGTGGAGTAGTATTAATATTGACTATAAGTGATAAGATTTTTAGTAACGAATTAACTGAATCTCTTTTCTTAATTGGAGATCAAAAATTAATATTTGATATTGTAGAAAGGGTTGATGTATTAACATATCAATACTCAAGATGTATTATGGGTGTTTCATTAAATATTACTCTAACACGAGAAAATAGAAAAATACCTTATCTCGTTGATAAACTTATCTCATCAATTACTCTTGACCCAAACTTTTTTAACCCAACAACATTTGACTTTATTGACCTGTCTATTGCAACTTTAGCACATACTATTGATGGTCATTCTAATTATAGTTTTGACTCTTTATCACTACAACAACGAGTTAGTTTATTACGTTGTTTTTTAGCATCTTTACCAGAACCACTTATTCCAGAGTCATTATATGATGACTTCTCTCGTATATCTAAATTTCCTGAAATAAAGCAATGTGGATTTATTAATGAAAAACTTCAACTAATTAAAACTTCATCAAGTATATTATCATCAGTACTATATTTACTTCATTTATATCTCAGTTATAATCCATCTAAATTTGATAAATTAATTCCATTTGTTCCAATACTTTTAAGGAAAGGTGATTCTATCTCATTACTAGACCAAACTACAGTAAAAATACTCATAATGAATGTCCCTCAACTACATCTGCCAAAATCCCAAATACATTCAATTCAATTTATACCAAAAGTTTATTCAATCAAAATTAAAATGCCTGATTATCCTGCTATGAACCAATTGATAAAAGAAATAAATGATACAACAAAACAAGCACTAATCAATAAAAAATATAAAACCGTTATTTGTAAAATAAAACAACCAAAACAAAGTTGTAATGAAAATGATATATATAAGTTATTAAATCCTGACATTAAACAATGTTGTTATGATAAAAAAGGAAATAAAGATGAAACAGATGTAGTTAATCTCGAAACGTTCTTATTGGGAATTAAAAAAGAAAAAAGTAAGACAAAAAGTTGGTTAAATTATTCTTCTTCAAGAAGTACGAGCAGTTCTCCCATTTTACCTAATTCTGAACGTCCAACTAGTTTCTTAGGTGCTTCAAGAAATAGAAAAATAACAAATAGTAAAAAACTAGATATTCCATCATTATCTTCTACTTCAAATTCTCCTCCACAAACATCTTCATCAGTTTGTTTATTTTACTAAATAATTTATTATTACATAATATTTTAACACTATAGAGTTGTTCAAGTCAAGAAGAGATTGTTGGGTATGACTCATCACTAAAAAATAGTAGTCATGGCAGAAAAAGCCCAAGGACAAACAGAGGTGGAACAATTGTTTTAACCGCAAGTGGTTGGACAACTGCTGAAGTTCAATTACCAAAACACTCATCTTTTTTATTAGAAACAGAAACCCAATAATTCACTTACTCTATCTACATTATTATGTAACTAACTTACTACAAAAGACAAAAAGAAAAGAACAAAAAACAATCAGTCAAATAGATAAATGTGATTATAAAACACCAGCTAAATCCTCTTTAGATCTAATAATAATTTTTTCTTTCTGTCTTTTTGTTGTAAATCTTCTTGGCATAAACACTTTTGGTTGATCCTCATCATTAACTTTAGGTTTAGTTTCTTTGTACTCTTTATTCTTTTTTTCATGATGCTTATGGTGTTTGTGATGTTTTTTCTTTTCTTGAGATGAAGAGTCATCAGAAGGTTGTGATGATGAATTTGACTCTTGGTCTTTTTTAAGTTCAGCAATAATACCAGGGGATGCTGTTTTTACTTTATTTAACACTGCTTGTAACGCATTAAATTCTAATTTCTTTGGTTCAGGTTTAACTAATCCAATTCCACATCGGTTTTCTTCAAATTCTATATCTATTCCATTTGTTGGTTTAAGGTCTCCTTCAAATCCTAATCCTTTAATCATTGATAATCCAATACTCCCTTCTTCAACCCAATGTTTTTGAACACCTCTTTGTCTTCTCTTTTTCTCAGGGAATATTTCATATATTCTTTCGCTCATTTAGGGTTTTATCACTTCTTTTAAGTTCTTAGTTCTCTTTGATTTCAAACATAATATAAATGTTTTAAAAAACAAAAATTAATGAATAAGAATAAAGAAGAAGGGTAGTAAATTATAATAAAAAAAGAACTAATACACTAAGAAGAAGAAATTTAGGGTAAGAGAAGGAACTAAATTGTGTAAGTCGCCATGGTTTGTTGAGATTATCATATTGTCTTAATTTTTAAAAATATGTTTATGTGAAATAAGTATACTTTAAATGAATTTACTTTTTTGAATTAACAATTATATATTCAACTAAGAAGAATATAAGACTAATTATTTAGGCCACCGTTACTTCAGAATCAGAATTCCAACACATGCT